TGGAGGAACTCTGTAAAAAATGGCTGTAATTCCTAAACGGTTAATGCAATATTTTTGTTAAACCCCTTGAATTAAAGCTGAAAGTCTACGCTTCAGTCACATCTTGACTGCTTCATTTCAAATCCACTGTGGTGGTGCACAGAGGCAAAATTACCAAAACTGTGTCACTGTCCCAATATTTATGGACCTGACTGTATAAATCAATGCTGCTGATGATTACAAACCGACAAACAATAAAATGTCTGTATCTTCCTAGAAAAGAAACAAAGGAAAGCTAGAAAGAAAGAGACGGATGTAAAGAAAAAAATGTACAGAACATCAGAAAATGATGATCTCTCCATCATCCCTGATGCTTCCTCCATTAGTGAACCTCGTCGTGTTCGTGTGCGGTAATAGCTCTCTCTGCGTGACGTCCCTCTCGACCCCCTCGACCCCTGCGGCCCGTACAGGCAGGAGGCACGATGAAGTGCGTATACAGAAAGCCTGGGCTAATTGAGAGAAATGAAGAGGACGGATTGTTTTGGCGTCTCACCGGCATCGCAATTAGACCTGTCAATAGCCATTAGCGGCAGCACGGAATTCGGACAACACGACTGTCACATCCGAATCATCCGTGCTTGTAAATCCTGATAAAATCCACATCCATCCTTCATCCTGATCTCAGCGTACAGATGTTGAGGGATGCTCGCTAGCAGAGAAAGCAATTAGTACATATGAGTGAGATTCTTATGCAGGATTAGCTGCTAAGACATCTGTGTGTATAATGCTGACAGACTGTAGCCTGTAACATGGAGCTTTAGTCAGATTTTGCTTTACAGAACTGCAGTCTAGCTAGCTAACTGTGTGACAAAGGATTGACGGGCGTCTTCGCAGAATCGTCAGCAAATCCGTAAACATGTGAAATTAATGCACACAAATCCATACTGACGCAACAGGTGACAACATGACACGCCTACAAAAAAAAAAACACAAGGAAGTGCATGATTTAGAAGTGTAGCTTAAAATAAGGAAGAATAAAGAGAAACCTAGCATAAAGTCCAGGAAGATTAGCAAGAACACGAAACAGGAAGGAAAGTGGAACGTGAAAAAGGCAGTAGGGTACGGATGACAGTGAGGGTCAAAAACGAGACACGTGATACAAGATGGATTATATATCAAATATCAAACATCAAATATCAGTTATTCAAGCTGTAAAATATAAATCCAAATTCCAGGGTGGATTTTTCCTTTAACATGCCGCTAGTTTCGTTCTCGTATTTTTATAAAGTTACAGGATAAAGTAAACAGAATGAATCAGCGAGGATTTCCAAACTCAAGATAACACGTTATAAAATAAGATATAATTCCTAATCACATTAGTAATATGAGTCTGCTAAAAAAAAAAA